CCACCCCCGCCACCACCGCCGCCGCCTACCAGTGACAGCCACTCTCTGTCCCCTCTAAGGTCCCACTACGGTGATGTCCGAGGGCGCCCGGAACATTGTGGCGGCCATGAAGGCTCATGGCGTGGACAAGGTCGTGGCCTGCACCTCGGGTGGGTGGTGGGGTCATGGGGGTGGGGCTGAACTGGAGGGCGGGTACTGGACAGGGAGCCCAGGGGCCTCTCAAAGATGGCATTGGAGCCATTCCAAGTTACCATGCATTTACTGAGCACCAGCTGTGTGCCTGAACCTTGCCGGGCGATTCCGAGGTGGTGCCCAACACAGCCCTGGGCGCTTCTCCCACGGGGCTCACGGATGGGGGAGGGTGGAGGACAGGTCCGTGATCAAACTGACATCCCGGATAATCAGGGCCAGGACCGGGGAGGCACGAGCAGAGGGGCCAGGACGGGAGAAGCCCAGAGGACTGTGGGAGGCCAGAGCAGGGATCTGACCTGGCCTCCCAGAGGAAGTGACGGAGCTGTGGCGGATCCCGGGTCTCTGCCCTCACAGAGCCTCTAGTTACGGGGAGATGGACAGTAAACAAATTGTTGTCCTGAGTAATCCAAAGGGAAAGGGTCAGAACAGGAGCAGTTCATGCTAACAGCATTTATTGAACACTCACTGTATGCTAGGTGCTATCTGAGCACCTTAGGGATAAATGCCACTTAATCCTCCCAAAACTTGTTTTTGTTTGTTTGTTTGAGACGGAATCTGGCTCTGTCACCTGGGCTAGAGTGCCATGGCCTTCAGCCTAGCTCACAGCAACCTCAAACTCTTGGGCTCAAGCGATTCTCCTCCTTCAGCCCCCCTAGTAGCTGGAATTACAGGTGTGCACCACCAAGCCTAGCTAATTTTTCTATTTTTAGTAGAGACTGGGTCTAGCTTTTGCTCAGGCTGGTCTCAAACTCCTGAGCTCAAGTGATCCTCCCACCTCAGCCTCCTAGAGTACTAGGATTACAGGTGTGAGCCACTGCCCCCAGCCCCAAAACTCTTTTGAGTACTGATACTCACAGTGACACATAGTAGGTGCTGCAATTTTAGAATGGCCCACTCTTCAGTTTGGGTTTGGTTTTTTTTCTTCCATGTCCTGAAGACCAATGTGAGTGGTTAAGACAAGTTTTGCTTCCATGAAAGAAATTATAAAATCGATTTAATCTGCTTTGTTTTATTTCCAAAATTTTTTATTTAGATTTTTTTTTTTTTGAGACAGGATCTCACTGTGTTGCCTGGGCTAGAGTGCCGTGGTGTCATCCTAGCTCACAGCAACCTCAAATTCCTGGGCTCAGTGATCCTACTGCCTCAGCCTCCCCAGTAGCTGGGACTACAGGCATGCACCACCATGCCCGGCTAATTTTTTCTATATAGTTTTAGTTGTCCAATTAATTTCTTTCTATTTTTAGTACAGACGGGGTCTCGCTCTTGCTCAGGCTGGTCTCGAACTCCTGAGCTCAAACAATCCACCCGCCTCGGCCTCCCAGAGTGCTAGGATTACAGGCGTGAGCCACCGCGCCCAGCCTATGTGTTTGAATTCTTTTGGACACTCATGGTCTCCCTGCTTTGCCCAGTGGGTGCCCCTTCAAGTGGCTTCTGTGTCCTTTAAACATTGCCCCATCATTCCTTAAATACGGCCTTACCTGCTGGCAGTACAAGATGCTTCAGCCTCATCCTGTCCTTTCTCTGCCCCAGCCTAGCAATCAGCCGTTCCCCTCAGGAGCTCTGGGTCATTTTTCAGAAGAATGAACTTCAGAGTCTATCTTAGCTTGGGCTGCCACAACAAAATACTATACTAAAGGCCGAGTGGCTTAAACAACAGACATTTATTTTTTGCAGTTCTGAGGGCTGGGAAGTCTAAGATCAAGGTGCTGGTAGATGTAGTCCCTGGTGAGGGGTCCTTCTTGCTGTGTTCTCACATGGAAGGGGAAGAGAGAGAGAGAGAGAAAGGGGGAAAGTGGGAGACAGGGAGAGAGGGAGAGAGAAAGAGAAAGAACCCCGCTGTGGTCTCTCTTCTTATAAGAACACTAATCCCATCATGGGGGTCCATCGTCATGAGCTCATCTAAACCTGATCACCTCCCAAATTCCCCACCTCGAATCACGTCACACCGGGGAGTTAGGGCTTCGATATATGAATGGGGGGTGGGGCATGAACATTCAGTCCATAACCGAGACCACAATTAATAATTTTATTTCTAAAATATCACCATTAAAATACACCCAGAC